AAAAAAAAAAAAAAAAAAAAAAAAAAAAAAAGACTAAGATAAGACAATACACAAAACCTTTAGTATATGGGCTGGCAGAAGTGCTCATTAAACAGCTGCTTATTAGAACTCTTAACTAAAATATAACCAGAGCCTGGGTATAAACTATGAATCCCAGAAAGACTGGGCACCCCAGCAACGATGTGCTTTCTGGAGGACTCGCAGTTTCGCGAGGCCGAGGCCCTTTTTTTTTAGGAAAGCTTAAAAGAAGAGGCCACAGAGAGGCGGTAATGCCTCCACCCCCGCCTTCGGAAGCACGCTGGCGGCCTTTCAATTCTCCACGGTCAGGGTCTTGTCTTATGGTCCACTCGGACTCCCCATTTGCTCCCAATTCTCAAACTCGGAGGCGCCTCTTTTCTTGACAAAAGTCCTGCAAGTTAGCAGCATGCTTAGTTTTCCTAAAACGTGTCATGTCCCCTTGGCCGCACACGGCCGACGAACGTGACACCCACAGCCCGTAAAACGCCCACACGGCAGAACTAATATCTAGCCCAAATAACCAACAAACAACCAAATACACCCTTCCTGCCCCCAGTCGCCTACTGAAAGAGTAACTTCCGGTGGCAGAAAAAGAAGGGCGCAGCGAGGGCGATAGGCGGGAAGAGTTTTAGCTGGCTAGGACAGTGCCGCCTGAAATTCTCAGCCTGCCAAGACTTAAAGATAGATTAACGTGGCATAATCCCCCATCTCCAAATTCCAAGGTCCATACGACCATCCATAGCCCCTCTCAAGGCAGTGGTAGACTCCCATCTGGCGATTGTTTTTCAGGCATTTACGGTAGCCACCTCAATATTCCAGCGCTCAAGCACTCGCACAGGAGAAGCGAGCGCCGACAGAGGGGGGCGGGGCGGTGCCTCAGTGTGTACGCAGACGTAGTGCAACGCACGCAGGCGTAGTACGGTCCCCTGGGCGACGGCGGCGGCGGCTCCTCGGGGTGCTCGGCTCCCTCCCACCTAGGCCGGCCCCGGCCCGACTCGCCCTCAGAAACTCAGTGGGGCTGCGGACTTTCTCGTCGTGCCCCACAAAAGTAAAGCTTGAGGACCTGGGGGGAGCTGGAAGTATCGCCTTTAGATCCCCGAATACGATCGTGGAAACGGAAGTGGCCGTCGGTGGCAGGTTGGGGGAGACCGGAAGTGACGGTCGGTGGGGAAGCTGGGGGCGGAGCCGCGGGGTCGTGGTGGGTGGGTGGGTGGGTGTGTGTGTGTGTGTGTGTGTTTGGCCATAGGTTAGTTGTGCTGTTCTGCTGGAACACCGTGGGAAGGCAGTAGACGGGGGCAGTCAGCTAGCCGGTACTGCGCCCCGTGAGTGCCGTTTTGGGTCTGTAGTGAGTTAGGAGGGTTCGACGGGCGTGGCGCGCGTGCGCGAAACCACTTTCTCCGCAGAGTGTGGCGCGACCCCCGCTTTGGCCTTGTCCCAGGATTTTCTGACCTCTGGGGCGTTTGTCCTGTCGTGACCGGTGATGACACTGGTCTCTGGTTTCGTGCTTCTTTCCTAATTTGACTGGCTCCCCCCTTATTGTGATTGGCATCATGGAGCCCCTCCCACCTCTTGTCCTCCAGCTCCCTATGCCGTCGATCTCCTGCCCTTTGTGTTTCTCTCTCTGTGCCC